CTTTTGAAGAACTTGCAACACGAGCGCACGACATGGAGTTAAGCATCGCAAGTCATGGAAAGACATCTCCATTTGTTGATCAAAAGGAGTTCAAGAAAAATGTTGCATCAAAGAACCAAACCAAAGAATCAATGGCGGTGAAAGCAACTTCTGTGAAGGTCACTACTAAGCAAAAAGTGAAGGAGGATAAGACCCCGAGTCAATATCCCAAAGAGGAGAAGCGTCGTCCCACCTTGAAGGAATTAGAGGCGAAGGTTTATCCATTTCCAGATTCAGACGTACCCACAATCCTTGATGAACTGCTGGACAAGAAAGTCATCAATCTCCCTGAATCAAAAAGGCCAGAGGAAATTGGCGAAGTTGGCGATCCGAAATACTGCAAGTTTCATCGTGTCATTAGCCACCCTACAGAGAAATGCTTCGTCTTGAAGGAGAAAATCATGGCTCTTGTAAGTGAAGGAAAAATCATCATAGACATGGATGAAACAGCAGAAGAAAATCATGCAAGTATCGCGCTGAAGGAAAAGAAGTGTTCAAAGTTGCACAACGTGTCAAGCACTGCCTTCTTACAATTTAGAAGTTTCGAGCCCGCTGAAGTTGATCTTCCTTGGAAAACTCTTGAAGGTTCACTAGATCTAGACAATCACTCCAAAGACAAAGACGATGAGGGATGGATTCTGGTCACTCACAAGAAGCGAAAACATCAGGCAGTTTTGAGGCTACGAATTCCTAATTCAAGAGCGATGATGAGCAATGCAGATAGGCTATAATCACCAAGAAATATCAAATCTTCTATTAGAAAGAAGATTAACAATGCCTTATCGCTGAAGTTCCGAAAGCCCATCACATTGCATGAATTCTTTCCAGGAAAATTCCTTCATAGAGGTCACGTTGGTGCAACTCATGTAGTTTCTAGTACTCATGTAACAACGGAAAGCAATGATGAGTCTGTTCCAATGAAAACACAAGAACATCATGATAACGGGAAAGTTGTCACATGTTGTGCAACAATTTCATTCACAGATGATGATTTGCTGATGGGGTGTAAGCCACATAACAGACCTTTGCTTGTTGTAGGGTCCATTCAGGAACAACATCTCAATCGCATACTTGTTGATGATGGTTCGGCTGTCAACATCATGCCAAAGATGGTGCTAATAAAGCTTGGGATCTCTATCGATGAGCTATCCAAAAGTAACCTAACCATCCAAGGTTTCAACCAAGGAGGACAACGAGCCATAGGTATGATCCGCATGGTATTATCCATTGATGATATGAAGTCAAACACCCTGATTCACGTCATAGATGCTAAAACATCATACAACCTATTGCTTGGACGTCCTTGGATTCATGAGAATGGAGTGGTATCGTCTACTTTGCATCAATGTCTGAAGTACAGAAGAGATGGTGAGATAGTCAAAATTGATGTAGACATCAAGCCTTTCACTGAGACAGAGTCATACTTTGCAGATGCAAAATTCTACCTAGATTCTTGTGAACCGAGTGTGGAGAAACCATCATCAGTCGATGAAGCTGATGTCAAGTCAAAAGAAGAAAATGAGGCTCAATGGACTACCACCAAGCTGCCTAAGAAGAAAATTGAAGAAGTCTCCATTGAGCTGTCATCATCTCAAGGTGACATACAGACAAAGACTGATAAGGAGCATCTAGTTTTTCGCTATGTTCCGCGTGAGCGTCGAAAGAAAGGGCAACCTTTGCTACACGAATGTACTTCAAAGAAGCAAATGAGTCACAAAGATATCCAACATTTGAAGGAGCATATGACTATTCCAGTTGCGCAAATCCCATACGTGACTTTTGAGTCTACTAAAGGCAATCTCCAAGCTGATAAAATAAAAGAGCACTATGATCGTAAGGCCTTCATACTGCTTGAAAAGTCTGGTTATGACTTCTCCAATCCATCACAACTAGGAGAAGTCGAAGACGAAGTCACTGGTGAAAAGATTCATGGGCTCAATGAGTCCCAAATGAAGTTGAGAAAGCAAGGGCACTACGTTGCCACTCCAAAGTTTGGGTTGGAGTTTAGTTTGGCAGAGCCTCTTCGAATTTCATCAAAGAGAAGCAAAAGAGATAGCTTCATCACAATACACCTCGATAGAGGAGATGAAGGAAGTTAAGGGGCAAGCAAATAAAACAACGGGCTTCAGTATATGATCGCGTTAGAGGCTCAACCGCTTCGGTCTTGGTGTTTGAAAGGCTAAGTCACAAAGGTGAACGTGTATCTTCCAAACATCTAAAAGAAGTTTCCACTACCTCAAAGACCTCTGTCTTTTGTCGCCTAGGGACCACAAGGAAGTCGCCATCTGGAAAGATACTGTCAAAACATAAGGAGCAAGTCCACGAGGAGCGGGATCATTTTGAAGTTGTTGCTGACAAAGAAATCTGTAGTGCTTTCCCATCACGTATGAAGAGGAAGTCTATTTTGTCAATATCCACGAATGGTCCACTGAAGGTGCAAAGGAGAACCATTGTTTACACTTGCCATCCTCGTAAAGAAGCAGAGAAAGAGAACGAAGCCATGCCGACCATCCAAGAAAGTCAAAGAGAAAAGTCAGACTTTGTGGAAACAACCTATCACATCACCGTGGAAGATAGCCCATGCCTTGACGTTGATGATGAAGTCCACGAGGCTCCCCCTCAACTTGAAGATGGTGGTCAATCAACCGTGGATGAGCTTAAGGAACTCTATTTAGGCACTCCGAAAGATCCACGCCCAACCTTTATTAGTGCGTTTCTTACGCCTTAGGAGGAGGAGGAATACTCCAAGTTGTTGACCGAGTACAAAGATGTCTTCGCTTGGTCGTATAAAGAAATTCCTGGTCTTAGTCCTAAGGTAGCTGTTCATCATTTAGGGATCAAAAGTGGAGCACGCCCTGTGAAGCAGTCACAATGCATGTTTCGACCCGAGCTTGTGTTCCAAATTAAAGTCGAAGTCAACAAGCTCATCGAGGCGGGATTTATTCGAGAGGTGAAGTACCCATCATGGATATCGAATATTGTACCTGTCAAGAAGAAGAATGGTCAAATACGTGTTTGTGTTGACTTTCGAGACCTAAACAAGGCATGTCCAAAAGATGACTTCCCGCTACCAATTATTGAACTCATGGTTGAAGCTACAACAGGGCATGAAGCTATGTTATTCATGGATGGGTCCTCCGGATACAATCAAACCAGAATGTCTCCAAAGGATGAAGAGTGTACTGCTTTCCGAACTCCAAAAGGGATATATTGCTACAAAGTGATGCCCATCGGTCTGAAGAATGCCGGTGCCACCTACCAACGCGCGATGCAAAACATCTTTGATGACATGCTTCATAAGAGGGTTGAATGCTACGTCGATGACTTGGTGGTGAAGACGAAGAATAGTCGTTATCACCTTGAAGACCTTCGAATTATTTTTGAAAGGTTAAGAAAATTCGACCTGAAGATGAATCCACTCAAGTGTGCATTTGGAGTTACCTCAGGAAAGTTTTTTGTCTTCATTGTGCGTCATCGTGGAATTGAAGTTGATCCTGCAAAGATTGATGCCATTTAGAAAATGTTCAAGCCAAAGAACTTGAGAGAGCTTCGAAGTCTCCAAGGAAACTTAGCATTCATCCGGAGGTTCGTCTCTAACCTAGCCGGACGGTGTCAACCCTTCAATCATCTATTGAGGAAGGATATCACTTTTCATTGGGATCAGTCATGTCAAAATGCTTTTGAAAGCATAAAAAAATACTTGCTAAATCCAACTATGTTAGGGGCGCCAATGCTTGGGAAGCCATTGATACTCTACATCGCGGCACAGGAACGTTCACTTGGAGCACTGCTTGCTCAAGAGAATGAGGAAGGAAAAGAACAAGCCTTGTACTACCTTAGCCGAACTCTGATAGGAGCTGAGATGAACTATACGCCTGTTGAGAAAATATGCTTAGCGTTACTTTATGCGATAAAGAAGCTAAGGCATTATTTTGAAGCATACACCATCAAACTCACCTCTCGAGCAGATCCCGTGAAGTTCGTGATGACTCGACCTGTTCTTTCTGGATGCCTAGCAAGATGGTTCATATTGTTTAACCAATATGAGATTACATACACACCTTAAAAAGCTGTGAAAGGACAAGCACTAGCCAATTTTCTGGCTGATCACCCTCTTCCGGCGGAATGTGAGCTTTTGGATGAGTTTCCAGATGAAGATGATTTGTTCATTGAAGAGTTTCCACCATGGACAATGTTCTTCAATGGATCTGCATGTCGTAACGGTGCGGGGGCAGGTGTTGTGTTGATCTCTCTAGAAAGACATGTCTTGCCATTCTCCTTTGTTTTAGGTGAAACATGCTCCAACAATGCCGCAGAGTACCAAGCTTTGACGTCGGTCTCAAAATGGCACTAGAAATGAAGATTCTACAGTTGGAGATCTACGGCGACTCTAAGCTAATCATCAACCAACTTTTGGGGAGTTACGAGGTAAAGAAGGAAGATCTATTGCCATACCATCAATACGCTTCTGGTTTACTTGAAAAATTCGATCAAGTGTTCTTAAACCACGTCCCAAGAGAAGATAATCGCAAGGCTGATGCTTTGGCTAACTTGGCCACGACTATGGCACTTGGAGAGAATGAGTCAACAAAGGTATATGTGTGTCATCGATGGGTTATTCCTAAACTTTTGGATCTTCAAATCAACGAAATCCATCATACGTCTGTTCGAGTGATTGAAGAAGAAGATTGGAGGCAACCATTGATAGAATACCTTGAACATGCAAAGTTACCTGAAGATCCGCGACAAATAACAGACATCAAGAGAAGGGCACCACAATTCATCTTCTACAAGGGGACAGTATTTCGCTGCTCCTTTGAAGGACTATTCTTGCGATATCTTGACAAAGAAGAAGCCTGCCAAGCGATGGAGGAAGCGCATTCTGGCTCATGTGGAGCACACCAATCGGGTCCAAAGCTCCATTTCCGCATCAAGTGGATGGGCTACTACTGGACGACAATGGTGAAGGATTGCAAGGATAATGCCAAAAGATGCCAAGTGTGTCAATTTCATGCTAACTACATCCATCAACCTCCAGAGCCTCTTCATCCAACTATAGCTTCATGGCCTTTTGATGCATGGGGACTTGACGTTGTTGGATCGCTTCCAAAGTCATCAAAGGGACATATTTACATATTGGCCGCTACAGACTACTTCTCTAGATGGGCCGAAGCTGCTCCACTCAAGGAGGTGAAAAAGGAGACCGTTGTCGATTTTATCAAGTCATATATAATTTTTAGGTACGGCATACCAAGATACATAATCACCGATAATGGAACGTCATTTGACAACAAGCTCATGAAGAGTCTGTGCGAGAAGTTCGGCTTCAAGCAACATAAGTCTTCAATGTATAATGCACCTGCCAACGGCCTTGCTGAAGCTTTTAACAAGACGCTTGGTAACCTTTTGAAGAAAGTTGTTGCAAAGAACAAGAGAGACTGGCATGAGAAAATTGGTGAAGCTTTATGGGCATACCGGACATCCTTCAAAACTTCTACACAAGCAACTCCTTACTCTTTGGTGTATGGCGCAGGAGCAGTCCTTCCGTTGGAGAAACAAATTGCATCGTTGTGGATCACAATCCAAGAAGGGCTCACATCCGAAGAGAATGCTGAACTTCGCCTAGCGGAGTTAGTGGCCTTGGATGAGAAAAGATTAGAAGCACAACAAAAATTGGAGTGCTATCAAGCTCGACTAGCTAGAGCCTTCAACAAGAAAGTGCGGCCACGATCATTCCAAGTGGGAGACTTAGTCCTAGCCGTTCGACGACCCATAATCCTCAACAAACGCATAGGCGACAAGTTTACCTCAAAATGGGATGGGCCATATGTTGCGAAGGAAGCCTATTCAAGCGGCGCATACAAAATTGTCGATAAGGATGGTCTTAGAGTTGGTCCGATCAACGGAAAATTTCTGAAGCAGTACTTCCCATGAAAGTCGCCTACGCTCCTCGACTTACGAGCCTAAATTGCAAGTCATGACGCTCCTTGATGCATGAGCCTAAACTACATGTTGCGACACTCCTGGCCCGCATGAGTCTAAACTGTGTACGGCCCAAAAAAAATAGTCTGCTAGGTTGAAAACCTCGACAGAGGCGGCCTAGGAAAAAAAAAAGAAGTCAGCTAGGTTGAAAACCTTGCGAGAGGCGGCCTAGGAAAAAATTAGGACACAAAAAAAAAAAGAAAAAAAAAACTCACCCCTCTGAACTACGTTATGACTTGATCCTCTTCACTAAGGTACGTAGGCAGCTTAGATTTTTATTCTAAGTTTAGTCACATGAGTCTTAAAAACATAAAAGTTTGGCGTCATCGGATCATTACGTTAATTCTTCCAAGTGTAGAGGCACATATCTATGAGGAAAAGAGACGATTTGCTTTGAAGAATAAAAGATGTTTTATTGCTTCAATAGGACAAAAGTTGATACATCAAAAAATGTAGAGACAAAAGGAATTAGACGTTTTCCTATACAAAAGCCTAAGTCATGAAAATGATCGTAAACTAGGCTTTGTGGCCGACTCGTCTCGAATGCTTCTTCCAAGTCCATATGACGTCTCCACATTTTAATACACTATCCTCAATGCCTCGTATATAAGAAGTCATCTCTCTTGAAAAACCTTCAATCACCACGAGAGCCGCCATTGATAAACTTCAAAACCGTCAACAAATCAAGTGCAACAGTTGGTGAAGGGGTGACTCCGCATCTTGTATGACATCTCAGACTGATATATGGACTCATAGAACTTCTTTGCAAGTCTGCAAAAGAAATAAATAAAGAGATAAGATTTGTGAAGCACAATAGCTAAAGTTACTATATTCAAGACTGTAGAGTCAATTTCAAGAAAACAACAACATTCATAGGACAACTCAGGGAGCATAGAGATGGGAAGCGAGCTCAACGGATGACGAGATCAACTTTGGAAAACTACTGTGGTCCATCCAGAAGATGTTCTACCCCAAAAATTTTATATGTTGTAGATTTGGATGTCTAGTTTCCAGCAGCACAATCCGTTTGCGATTTGGAGGCTCCTAGCTCAAGATACGATTTTTGATGTCGGAACTACACAATCTGAAAGTTACTGCAGCTAGGTGGACTTTGAGAATTTTCTGTTTCCAGCTCGAAAGAAGTTCTGCCACGAAACTAATACGTATTGCATCTCTATGAGTATACTTTCTAATGGCGCAAACGGATCCCAATTTGGAGTCTCCTAACTCGAGATATGAATTTTTCCACCAAAGCGCGCAAAGCTGAAAAGCAATTTCGCGGACAGATGGGTCAAGTTCAGAAAGTTGCTGCGGACAATCTGCTAGGAGTTCTTCTATGATATCTTGAGGATTTCATTATCTCCGAGTCTTCTTTCCAATGGCGCATACGGCTCGTGATTTGGACATTCTAATCTCGAGATATATACGTTTTGATGACAGCATACAGTGATGTAAAGTCAAAATGTCAGATATGTATACCAGCTTCAAAAGTCGAGCTCCAAGCCTCTTTCTTGCCAAGTCGCAAGGCTGAGATGCACCATGTTCTCGCTCGCATGTTGCAAAGTGGGGATATTGCTCGTCGATCAAGCTCGCTTAGGAATACTCTGAATGTCTCCCGTCAAGCTGCAAGAAGGGATGTACCAAGTTGCTGTTGTACTCTCTTGAAAACCTGCAAAAATAAGAAAAGATTTTGGAACCCTTGGTGCCAAAAAGATGAAATTTTTGCAGATACGGTGCGAGTAGCACGACGATCAGCTCGATTAATGGATACCGGTGCCATAGCACGACGTTTCTGCTTTTACAGATACAATGCCAGTAGCACAATGCTTCGATTCGGCATGATGGACATCGAGGCTGACAACGCTATCTTCCAAATCAACATGGGAAACATTATGAAATATAGTTTAATTCATCATGAGGAATGGCAGTGCAGTACGCCTAGTCCTCTCCAATTTGGATGTTGAACGGGAGTCCCCAATGGTCCAAGATCAACAACTTCACATTGCAAAATCGAGCATCTTCTACTAGAGCAAGCGAGCACAACTTGTGAAGGCATCTAAAGCCTTTGCAGTCACATCCTGGTAAGCCTGCAAAAAAAAAAAAAAAAAAAAAAAAAAAAAAAAAAGAGGAAGAGAGATGCGGGAGCCTATGATGCTTAGTGCACGAAACTTTTTGGTGCTCTAGTTGATCTCTAATGAGTTTAGGGGCTGCTCTAGCGTCGTACATCCCTGCTGCGTTGTTGTCCCTGAATACTTTGTCGTCATTAAAAAATTGAGTTAGCAGTTATATCAAGCTTATCATGATCGAGCATATGTCCCCTCCGTGTATTCAATATGGTTGCGGCACGACTCCTATGAGTAACCAATGCGGTTAAGGATGGCTCATCCATAAGTAGCCTGCTATTGTTTTGTAGTACAAATCTACAAGAAGAAAACTTTGAGCCTTTTTGGATATATCTCTGATGAAAACTCCATAGTGTCTTCCTTTCTGTGTTTTGACCAACCTAACTTGCACCAGGGGCATAACTAATTAAAGGAAAGATCATTATTTACAAAAAGTTCAACAAAAATTTCCAAAATTTTCATTTCATGTCGCTCTACCTATTTGATTTAATTGATTGAAAGTATCTGATAAATATCAAATGGTAAAAACCACTTTTAAGAGCTCAAAATAATTTGATATATAAGATTATTATACATTTTTAAATAGCCGTGCTTAAACTGACAATAAACATAAAATTAGTGTATTTGATAAAAAAAAATACTGATTAAATGGATACCTTTAAACGTTATTTACAAGACAATATAAATAAGTTGTTTCATACGTTTGGCAAAAGTTGCTTGGAGGATACATGTGAGACTGTGGTTGCTCTACTTGTTTTATTGTCTTAAATTTTGTTGTATAAAGTTGCGAGGTTTTTTCTTCCATCATCTCAGCTCACTCTATTTCGAGCAGTTTTATTTATTTTGATTCGCTTAATTTGCCTTGTCATGTTAGAAACTATAAATGCTCCACTGCCTATTTTGGTATAATTTAAGGTGCATTAATATAGACCTAAATAGCCATCAAGGAGTTTGTACTTCAATTGAAGGCTACTTTTTAATTGGGCGACTGTATTTGTAATTCGACTATTTAGGTCTATATTAATGATAGCCGATAGGTATTTAGGTCTTACACTCGTAGGTATTCCTCTAAGTTAGGTTCTCATTAATTGCTAGAATTATGATATTTGATTTTCATCACTCTTGTTCTAGTTATGCATTAAATTAGGTATTTTCTAAATTCTTTGTTTCTATCTTTATTATTTTTCCTGCATCTAATCCGCATATTATTTTGAGGGTAAATGAGTGCTATTTAAATCAAAGCATCCAAAAGGTTATGAATACATCACTCAATTCATACGTGAAATAAAAAAATGGATTTAACAACGAGATTATTGGATTATCTATATCTTTTCATTTTGGAAAAAAAGAAACCACTCAAAAACAAGATTCACGAGTTCCTTCAAATAAAAAGGCAATTCCAAGGACCCATTCATATTCAGCTCATTGGCATTCCATTTCAGAAAAAGGTATATGATAGAGGAACATTTAATAATAATTTCTCTGAAATAACTAACAAAAAAAATAAAAAAAATCTTATTCAATACTTAATATACTATTCTTGATCAAGTGGCTTTAGGAATACCAGCAAGGCGGGGTAGGTTTGGCCTTATGTGGGACGGGGTGGATTTGACTTTATGCAAGTAGGACTGTTTTTAAGAAAAAAAAATAATGCTATGCGAGTTGAAATTTTGCGGGTTAAGCCTAATCTCAGTTGAATAGTGACGACCCATCTTTAGAGTAGTGACGCCACATGGTATACCTTGTAGACATGTAAAAATTATTTAATCCATACAAAATTTGGATTAAATTCTAAATTACTTTGGGCCAAATAATTAATTTGGGCTTTACAAGTTAAATTAGTCCATTTTATTATTTTCAAGCCCAAGGTCCATTTCATCTTAAGGCCCAGACTCGTACCATGTGTCAAGTGACATGGCATGTCCAGTCAAATCCAAAGCCAACAAGATGATGACACGTGTTAAATGATGTGGCAATCCAAGTCAAAAAGCAAGAACCAACCACAGGTCGCCAAGTGGCTAAAATGACATGAGCCAATCAGAATCAAGCAAGAGAGTTCTTATGTAACTGGACTGTCCATCCTCTACAACTATAAATAGAGGGGTTACATAACTCTCAGAGGACATTCAGAGTTGGAGAAGAACACTCCGCAATTGGTGAGGGCATCCATAAACAGAGAGATCAATCATCAAGTGCTTAGTTCTTCAACAAAGGAGTGATCAACGGAGTTCTTCCCGGAGATCAACCCATAACAACAAAGTGCTGCTCGACGTTCTTGGCAATAAAATACATCACAAGGAGGTCGGCATCATCCTACATTCGAGAAAGACGCTTCTCAAGCCCTCGAATCACGGAGAATTTTAGAGAGGAGAATCAAGGGATACATAGAATTGTACTTACAAATATTATCAATAAAATCTTTTTTTCTTCATATTATTTTTGTTGCAATTTCTTTTTCGTCTTACGAAAATTTGTTGCAAATAAATTTTGGCACGCCCAGTGCGACCAATTCTGCCATTCATCTCTCCTTCATGCAAGTTGAAAACTACAAACTTCAGATCTACTGCTACATGGCCTTCCGCAAGTGTGATGTTTCATGCAAAGATGCTACTGTTGCTGCAACCGCTGAGCTTACTCATGTTGGCCCAATCACTCGATGCAAGTTCAAGGCTAGTGGCTTGGATGGATCCAAATACTTTGCCTCCTTGGAGATGGCGAAGAAGAACAGATCTCATATGACTTTCGCAACCGCAATCTCTGGGGGCAGCACCCCATTCTCGCTGTTTGACAAACTTTCTCAAACAGCCTCAAACCTTGGCGGATTTGAAGATTTGGTGGATTCTTCAGTTTCAACAAAAGTCAATGCCTTGATGACTGACGCAACTAACGTGGACGAAAAGTTTGCCATGATGGAACAGACTATTGAGGTCCTGAAGAAATTTGTTGAAGACAAGGATCTTCAAATCGCTCACCTCATGAACAAATTGGAGGCGTATGCACCTGGAGCGTCGAGCCATGTCCCTCCTCGTTCACCTGTCTTGACCTCCCAGAAAACAGCTGTTGAGGAATCATTTGCAAAGTTAAACATTCAAATGGAAAAGTAATCTACTTCAGTTGCGGTGTTATCTGTCCAACAATTGCAAGACATGATAAAAAACACCATTAGAGCTCATTATGGCGGACCATCGCAAAATTCGTTGTACTACTCTAAGCCTTATACTAAGAGGATTGATTGTTTAACCATGCCAACCAATTATCAACCACCAAAGCTGCATCAATTTGATGGCAAAGGGAACCCAAGGCAACATATTGCCCACTTTGTCGAGACTTGTAGCAATGCTGGAACGCATGGTGACCTTTTGGTAAAACAATTTGTTCGTTCTCTGAAAGGGAATGCATTTGACTGGTATATTGACTTGGAGCCCGAGTCCATTGATATCTGGGAGCAACTTGAGAAGGAATTGCTCAATCGTTTTTACAGTACTCGAAGAATTGTAAGCATGATAGAGTTGACAGGCACCAAGCAAAGGAAGGACGAGCCCGTGGTGGATTACATTAATCATTGGAGGGCATTAAGTTTGGACTGCAAAGATCGCCTGTCAGAAATATCTGCTGTGGAGATGTGCATTCAAGGAATGCACTGGGCCTTTTGTACATTCTACAAGGGATCAAACCGCGAACTTTTGAAGAACTTGCAACACGAGCGCACGACATGGAGTTAAGCATCGCAAGTCATGGAAAGACATCTCCATTTGTTGATCAAAAGGAGTTCAAGAAAAATGTTGCATCAAAGAACCAAACCAAAGAATCAATGGCGGTGAAAGCAACTTCTGTGAAGGTCACTACTAAGCAAAAAGTGAAGGAGGATAAGCCCCCGAGTCAATATCCCAAAGAGGAAAAGCGCTGTCCCACCTTGAAGGAATTAGAGGCAAAGGTTTATCCATTTCAAGATTCAGACGTACCCACAATCATTGATGAACTGCTGGACAAGAAAGTCATCGATCTCCCTGAATCAAAAAGGCCAGAGGAAATTGGCGAAGTTGGCGATCCGAAATACTGCAAGTTTCATCGTGTCATTAGCCACCCTACAGAGAAATGCTTCGTCTTGAAGGAGAAAATCATGGCTCTTGTAAGTGAAGGAAAAATCATCATAGACATGGATGAAACAGCAGAAGCAAATCATGCAAGTATCGCGCTGAAGGAAAAGAAGTGTTCAAAGTTGCATAACGTGTCAAGCACTGCCTTCTTACAATTTGGAAGTTTCGAGCCCGTTGAATTTGATCTTCCTAGAAAAACTCTTGAAGGTTACCTGGAGCTAGACAATCACTCCAAAGACAAAGATGATGAGGGATGGATTCTAGTCACTCACAAGAAGCGAAAACTTAAGGCAGTTTTGAGGCTACGAATTCCTAATTCAAGAGCGATGATGAGCAATGCAGATAGGCTACAATCACCAAGAAATATCAATTCTTCTATTAGCAAGAAGATTAACAATGCCTTATCGCCGAAGTTCCGAAAGCCCATAACATTGCATGAATTCTTTCCTGGAAAATTCCTTCATGGAGGTCACGTTGGTGCAATTCATGTAGTTTCTAGTACTGATGAAACAACGGAAAGCAATGATGAGCCTGTTCCAATGAAAACACAAGAACATCATGATAACGGAAAAGTTGTCAGATGTTGTGCAACAATTTCATTCATAGATGATGACTTGCTGCTGGGGTCTAAGCCACATAACAGACCTTTGTTTGTTGTAGGGTCCATTCGGGAACAACATCTCAATCGCATACTTGTTGATGATGGTTCGGCTATCGCCATCGTGCCAAAGATGGTTCTAAAAAAGCTTGGGATATCTATCGATGAGCTATCCAAAAGTAACCTAACCATCCAAGGTTTCAACCAAGGAGGACAACGAGCCATAGGTATGATTCGCGTGGTAGTATCCATTGGTGA